GTTTAACATAAATTAACTAACATAACTAATGTATTTACATTAGCATCATTCCGGTCACTCAAGGAAATTATTTGACATTAAACCGAGAAAGGGGTTCTAATAGATCTACGATCCTTTATAATGCATCAAGTCCACATAAAATTCCGCTATGGACGTGCCATGAGCCAACATTCGTTAGTCTTTTTCATTTTGCAGGGTTCGTTAACCTTGCTCCTAATTATTTGATATTTAATTCTGTTGGTGACTGTGGCGTTCGGGATGATCTCCAAATTTCCTATTTTCGTGTACCTCTTTCTCTGATATAATTTTTATTTATTCGAATTACGACACGTTCAATTTTCATACCACCTATTAGATTTTAATATCCATTCTACCTAATTGTAGATATACATTCAATTTCACAACAATGAAAAATTATATAAAGAAAACTATAGAATTTAATAAACATAGTGAACTTGTATTTTTCTTTTCACTTTTGTATTTGTTTTTTATAAATTATACTCTGTATTCTTTTATTTGACATTAGGTCAATGTGTGTACAACTTAGTATGTATATATTTTATTTAGCCATGATTATGACCTGGTGTTTATATTCCGGTTGAGTTTTATACTCTATGCTTGTCTAAACATTATTTTTGCGTGTTCATCGTTAGCGCAAACCGAGCCTCTTATCTCACCTTTTACTTAGGCCCTATAACAAAAAATGTATAACATTCAGGCACATTTTGGTAATTGGGCCAAAATTAAAACCCCGAATTACTATTTAATTGGATAATTATTTCTGAATCCGAACCATTTTATATATATGACGTAATAACATTTTTTGTCTGAATTCATAAATAATCACCAATGATTACATGATATACGTCAACCATATGACGCATTTATTAAACTGAACCCCAAAACAATAAAACTAATATAATTATCACGTCAAACCCATCTTCCCATCTTAAAACCCATCTCTCCTTATAAATATAGTCAAATTATTTGCCTCACATTAAATATCTATCATAACTACGCCATAAATTTAGGGTAGTGTAAAAATTCGCGAAATAATGGGCATGGGCGTCATTTAGAATAATGGCCAAACTAATCCTAATTTAGGCCGAACTTCGTAATTCCAACCCTGCACGTTATTTCGCAACAATACGGTAATATTTGTGTTAGATGTGTAAAAAAATGTCTAAAAAAGTGCCATTCTGCCTAATTTTTAATTTTATAATTTTGGTTTATTTTAAATAAACCGAAATTAATAAAAATTATGCAGAATGGTACTTTTTTAGATATTTTTCACACATCTAACACAAATATTAAACAAATCCTTTTTTATTGGGAAGACATTATATTACTATTACTACATACCCATTAAAACTTATCATTCTTACCCTTTATATTGTATAAAGTTGACCTTATGATTATATGTATGATACTTGTTTAAAATACCAATTATTGACTGCTAAAGCTAAATAAATGACTTTTTTTAATAATAGTATTTTTCACTGTTATTTTTTAATAAGCCAATAAATTATAGTTATTAGAATTAAAATTATATTCAAGGCTAGTGCAAATTATAAAAAAACCTGCATATAAAATGAGTTGGTGAAATAAACTGTTAATAAATAATTTTTTTGTAAGAAAGTTTTTAGTTTACACTTAGTGTTTATACACGGCTATAATTTATTAAATCATATATTCGTGTAATATACTAATCAAAACAATTTTTACAAACGAAGAATTAAACCCTCGCTTATGGTTAGGGTAAGGGTGGTTTTGAATTGGGTAAGGTATAGTTTATATCAAAATTTCGCAAGAAAATTTTTTTGTTAGAAGCCAGAAGGTAGCTCATAATCAACATTTTGAGATATTTATA